AGAGGAGGGGGTCATGGAAACCAATTAATAGCTGGTGAGTCAGAAGCACAGGAGACAACCTGGATTGGAGTCTGAACTGGGGGCGGGCTTGTGGGACTGAGTCCTTCACCTGTGGTGCTTTCTTCAGGCAGGTAGAGTCAGCACTGGGTTACTTTGGTGGGACACCTGGCCAGTACAATAAAGGTTTCTTGGATAAATGAAAAACCCCTGGGTATCTATTAAACTCCTCACCAACATTTAGTAGCTGCGTAAGGTTGCATCAAGTAGATGTACCATTACTTAAGTATTAATTCATTATTGGGCATTTAAGTTAGTTTCTTAACAACTGTGGGCCTTTAAGACATTCCCATATGTATATTCAATTTCTAGGCAATGATGTAAAGGAAACCTGACTGACACGCGGTGGAGACCAACAGGAGGAGCTCTCACACGCACCCCTCACTCCCCCCCCTCACTCCCCGCAGTCCTTTGCATTCCCAATGGGGAAAAAAACCTGGGCTTCACAGCCCAGAGTAAGGAAGGAGGGTTTTCTCCCCTCCCTCTCCCCCAACAACCCAGCCAATGAGGGACCATCACAGCCCAGCCAATGAGAGGCCAGCCCAGCCTCTGAGCCAATGAGAAGCACTACACTCCAGCTCCCAGTTTATTTCGGAGGACTTTTTGCTTGTAACAGACTTCCCAAGCCCCATCCCCCTTCCTCTGTAAAACACCATTTCTCTCCTCTGTGCCTAGGACTTGCCTATGGTTTTGCCATAGCCTTCTAGTCTTCATTTGGAGTTCTCTGCTATTCCTGAATAAATCCATTTTGCTGGCAATAACTAACATTTTATTTTTAAGGTTAACAGCAAAGATCCCAAAATGTACAATTACTGCATGGGGAACAATAAAAATGTATATATCTTTAGACCCAGGATTTCCACTACTAGGAGTTTATCCAAAAAGTGAGTACAAACAATGAACCTCGGCATTATTCCTAATAACTAAATATTACAAACTACTTAAATAAGAAAATTATTAAATACATTATGAAGCATCAATAGAATGGAATTCTACAGATCCCACGCCCAACCTAGGGCAGGGCGGTGCATCCTCAGTTTCCCCAGCAGGGACAGGCAGTGGGAGGAATCTGAATGGTCACCAAGAAGAGGAGGCTAGATCTTGACCTCCCTCTGTGGGGACAAGAGCAACAGTTCCCTCCTCCTTGACCCTAAGCCCTTTCTTGTAAGGCGCGACAGGGCCTGGGGAGCTCTTCGTTGGGGCAGATCTGGTGGTTCCAATAAAAAGTCATACAAAAAAACAGAAACAAAAACAAATTAAAAAAAGGAATTCTACAGATCAGTATAAAAGACTGAGAAAGCGTTTATGTGTGAGATGAAAGTAACTCCCAAGACATATTGCTAAATATAAAAGGCAAGGTACAAAGTGTCAACTATGAACATACAAGTGTTGCTTATACACATCAAAACTACCCAGGAGAAGGGGCGCCTGAGTGGTTCAGTTGGTTAAGCATCTGACTTTGGCTCAGGTCATGGTCTTGCCATTGGTGAGTTCGAGCCCGGCATCAGGCTCTGTGCTGACAGCTCCGAGCCTGGCGCCTGCTTCGGATTCTGTGTCTCTATCTCTGCCCCTCCCCTAATCGCACGCGCTCGCGCTCTCTCTCTCTCTCTCTCTCTCTCTCTCAAAAATAAATAAACATTAAAAAAGAATTTTTTAAATCCCGTGAGAAGAAACAAGAAACATGCCACGGCGGCCTCTGGAATATCCACTGAGCTGCGTGAACAGGAACTTGACATTTCAGGTTCTGCAGTGCCCCGCCACGCACGCAGGGAAAGCACGACGCCCGCGCTCGCCGGGAACTGAACCGCAGCCACTCGCCTGCGCGGAGGTGCTCGTCCCCACCCTGGGCCCTGCCCGCCGCGCCCCACCCCAGAGGCTGCCGGCCCGCGCCCACCGACCGAGGCCCACTCACCTGCCGGGCCCCAGAGCCTGAGGGCGCAAAGAGCAGGCCGAACCCACCGTGCCATGTCGCAGCTGCTCCGCCGCCCGCTCGCGACCTTGTCCCCGAGGGCCACGTGTCCGCCTCCGCCGCGCGCCCCTCCCCGCGAGCCCAGGTTGGGATGGACGCCAGGTGGGGGCGGCTTCCTAGCCTGCTGAGCTCCCGCCTCTGGCCCTGGACACCAAACCAGGAGACTGCATTTCTCTAACCTGCTGTCCCGCCGTTTTCAATCAGGAGGGTGATGGTAACACTTGGCGAGCGCTTACTACCGCCAGGAGTTACATTTACACTTAGTCCAGGAAGTTACTGTTATTATGGTCCCCGTTTGAGACGGGAAACTGCTGGTCACAAAGGCCGAGGCCACAAAGCCTGTCGATGGCCCTCCATCACAGGGCCACCAGGCCCTCGTACTCAAGGGCACAGCCAGCTGCGCGGGAAATCCGGTACAAACCCTGCAGAGAATTTCTTCCAAAGCAAGGGCGCGGTTACCCTGACAACCAGCGGGCGCCGCAGGCCGCGGGAACGCTCCCGGCCTGCCTCGCGCGACGCGGCGCCGGAAGTGAGTGAGCATTTCCGGTGGCCATCCCCGCGGCGCTGACACCTCCGAAGTGCGGCTGTCCCAGGGTCTTCCTGCCGTCATGAAGGACGTACCTGGCTTTCTGCAGCAGAGCCAGAGCTCCGGGCCCGGCCAGGCCGCCGTGTGGCACCGTCTGGAGGAGCTCTACACGAAGAAGTGAGCGCCCAGCCGAGGGGCCCCGGGCCCCAGTGCTGGGAGAGCGAGGGGGCTGCCGGGGAGGGGCGGGACCTTGTGGACTGAGGGTGCCCAGACCCGTGTGGGGAGAGTGGGGGCAGGCTAGGCCGGGGAGGTGCGCCGAGGAGCCCGGGGCGGCAAGGCTGTGGAGGAAGACGGGGTGACAGCCCCCGAGGACTGAGGAGCAGAGCCATAGGCACAGTGTTGGGGCCTACGGTTCCCTGCCTTCCTGACTCAGGGGCTGGGACTTGGGTTTCTGAACTCCCTTCCCCTGCTCTTATGAAAAGGGTTCAGGGCTTTGAAGGCTTTCCGCCCTTGATTCCAGTCAAACAAGCAAACACCGTTTCAGGGTCAGGCTGCCATCCGTGCCGAATAACAGATCCTGGTGTCTTGCACTTGCCCCGTATAGTCGACGGCCTCCGTGCCGTTTCTCAGCGGTCTGCAGCGGATAAACCAGAAACAAGTGCACTTTTAGTTTTTTCCCCTTTTGATTCTGCAAGTGGTTACACTCTGCTTTCAGCCGCTTCTCCCCACTCCCGGTTCCTACTTGCCATTGCACTTCATCTTGGGCTTTGTGCCCCTAAGAAGAGCTCTGAGTTTGAGTTTTATCACGAGATGAGTTTTATGACAAATTCTCTGTTGCTCAGCACTGACCTCTTAAGTGGCTAGAATAATTTGCTAGCATTGTTCCACAGGAGAGCACACTTGCTGTGATAACTTCCCTGTTAAGAACCCTAGCGTTGAGCATAATGCCTTTTACGTAGAAAATGAATACATGTTTGCATGATGTTCAGTGGCCTTCTGCTATTAGCGTTTTTGAGAGAAAATTCTTAGTGTTTGGCAAATAATTGCACTTTGTATTTTTCAAAGCTTTTTTTTCTTTTCTTCTTTTTTCTTTTTTTTTTTTTGTGCATTCTTAAAAATTAGAGTTTGGTTTCGAATGTACTGTCGTTTTTCCAGAGGTTTATTGATTTGCCCATTTGCTTTTTTAATTTTTTTTAAGTTTATTTATTTTGAGAGAGAGAGAGAGAACACAAGCGGGGGAGGAACAGAGGGAGAAGGAAAGAGAGAATCCCAAGCAGGCTCTGCATTGTCAGCACAGAGCCCAATGTGATGCTTGAACTCAGGAACCCTGAGATCATGACCTGAGCCGAAATCCAGAGTCGGATGCTTAATCAGCTGAGCCACCCAGGTGCCCTTCAGTTGCCCATTTAATCCTTCATTCATCGCATTTACAGGAGAGGAAACAATTTCACCTAAACTCCTTCCCTGAGATGCTCAACTACTAAGTAGAAGAGCCAGGATTTCAGCTTATATATGTGTGATCCCAAATTCTTGTTTTCAGTCAAAGCTCACAATAACTCTTTGAGGTAATCTAAGATATTCTCCAGGGTGACATCACCATTGAACAGCAGAACCAAGAGAGGAACTCAGGTTTAGTAGCATCTGTGTTAGCTGTCTTCCTGTTACAAATAGAAACCAGTTAATATGTGTTATGTGATAGGACCATCAAGGCTGAAGGTGTCTGTGACTGGATATTGGTTCATAGGTCTTAAGAGCCTTATGTTTTTCAGGTTGTGGCATCAACTGACACTTCAGGTGCTTGATTTTGTGCAGGACCCATGCTTTGCCCAAGGAGATGGCCTCATTAAGGTAAATGATCTGCCATGCTAGGTCAGACTATATAAACTTGCTCAAGGACTTTTAAAAATAATAGGTGGGCTTTGTAGTAATAACACACTATAACTATTCAGCAGTCACTGTACGTCGGGTAGTCTCATAAGGACTTTGTACATTTACTCGTTTATTCCTCGTGACAACTTGGGAGATAATCCTACTTAACTTGATGTAGAAGCTAACACTAAGGGATTGAGTAATTTGCCAGATATCACAGCTAACAAGTGGTAGAAGAGGCTTCAAACACAGTCTCGCTTCTTCTGAAATCCCAGCTTAAAATGCCGTCTTATAGCATAGCATGCCCTGTATCTTACTGTGCTTTTGGAAACTCATTCGGAAATAGAAAGTTCAGAATCATTTGGGGGGTAGGGTAGGACGTAGTGGAAGATAACCGCAGGAATCTTACGGGTAACGGTTGATCGCATCTCTTCCTCCACTCCCACGGATTCTGCTTGCTTGCCCAGAGGCTTTCTCTTGGGTAGTGTGGAAGATCGAGCCCCTTTCCTGCTTCATTTGGAGGTGGGGAGGTTTGGGGGGAATCCTCTGTAGTGTAGCACTTTCAGCATTTGACAACAGAAAAAGGAAAGAAAAATATTCTCTGCCCCAGCCTTCCCCACACTCCCTGACAAACCCCCACCAGTTGTTCACTGGTAGTTTCTTCCTCTTGGAAATCTCTCGCTGACATCTTTCTCTTTGATGCCTTTCTCTTGGATTCTGAAAGAATCCGAGATTTATGCCTGCATGGAAACCAAAAGGTAGTTCGTGATAACTTGAGTTATTTGCCCTGGATGCATTACTTTATATGTGTTTACAGTGAAGCTTACCACCTTCTTACTCCACGACTGGGGATCTAAAGATTTTCCTGTGTTTTATATCTGCCAATTGGACATTTTACTACTCAAAGGAACTTATATTCATCTGTAAACCTAAAGATTTTGCTTGGCATTCTGTCTTCTGGATTATGTGGAAAAAATGATAAATTAGAGCTATCTTACAATTTGTTTCCTAAGGTTCTATATCATAGCAATGGACATTCATGATTATTCCTCTCCAACCTTTGCTTTCTTGTCTTTAAATCACTTTCTACCCGGAGCAAAATATTTCCTCAACCCCATGGTAACGTAACACTTAGGTCAGCAGATTTGAGTTTACTATTTCAGTGGGCAAGTAAACCTCTAAAAATTATTGGGACCCAGCCCAGCTAACTTTCAGAGAGATAGTATTCATGAATTTGCAGTCACCAGTAGTAATTTTGAGTTTCTTTTTTCTTTGGAGGGGTTTGTGGTTTAGGTAATTCCATAAATTAAAATGGGTATCAGAAAAGTTGAAAATACTCTCTTATTGGAGAAGATATCTTTAAAATAGTCCTTTGTAATGAAAAAGCCATTTTATTTAGATGGCTCTTTGCTGGGTGCCAGATTTAAATAACTCACTGGCTGCTTCAGGGACATTTCCCACCCACACACACATACCCCCCCCCCCCCCCCCCCCGCACCAGGTTTTATTGAGAAATAATTGGCATATTTCTCTTTATTATTAAGGTATACAATGTAATGATTTGGTATATGTTTATACGGAAAATAACCACAGTGAGTCTACTAAACATCCATCTCACACTTTTTTTCTCCTTGTGATGACATTTTTTAAGTTTATTTACTTTGAGAGTGAGAGAGCACAAGCGAGGAAGGGGCAGAAAGAGGGAGAGAACCCCACGCAGGCTGCACGCTATCAGCACACAGCCTGACACGGGGCTCGATTCCACAAACTGAGATCAAGACCTAAGCCAAAATCGAGAGTTAGATGCTCAACCTGCTGAGCCACCCAGGCACCCCATGTGATGGCTACTGTTATGATCTGCTTTTCTTAGTAACTTTCAAACGTACAACACAGTGTTGTTAACTATAGTTACAATACTATAAGTTATATCCCCAGGAATTCTCTTATAATTGGAACTTTGTACCTTTTGACCACCTTCACACCCATTTCTTGCACCCCCCGACCCCCTGCCTCTGTCAACCACCAATCTGTTCTCTGTATCTATGAGGTCAGTTTTTTAATATTCCACTTAGAAGTGGGTCATACAGTATTTGTCTCTAATTTATTTCACTAAGCAAAACACCCTCCAGTTTCATTCATGTTGTCACAAATGGCAGGATTTCCTTCTTTTTATGGCTGAATAATATCCCACAGTGTGTGGGCATATACCCACATTTTCTTTCACGGGGACATTTCCATCTTTCTGTCTTCATAACCCAGAGGAACTGTGGACTCTACTTATCCAAGTTGACCTCATCTTGAGGCTCCCTCTTCCCACTTTGCCCACATGGGGTGCTCCGTTTGCCCAGTTACCCAGCCATAGCTCAGAAGTCATTTAGCTCCCCTTCCCTGTGACCAGCAAACCTCTCAGACCCTCTGTCCACCCTAACTGCCGTTGCTCCCTCGCTCTGTTCCCTCCCTCCCCCCGCCTTCCCCCTAGTCTTGTTATAATGCAGAAGTGTGATCATGTGTTTCCACCGGTTCAGATTTGACCTCAGGGCAAGGACAAGCCCCAGTGCCTTCCAGTCTGTGTCCATCAGAGTGCTGCTAACACATGCGCAGTGTTTTCTTCAGTGCTTCTACACGTTTGTTCCTGCTGGAATGTTCTCCCAACTGCCTCCTCCCCCGTACCAAATCTGTTCACCTGTCTAACTGCTCTTCCTTCCCTAAAACTCAGTTATCACCATTTCTGGAATAACTTTTGGAACCTCTCCTTTGGGTTGGTCCACCTGTGTGCTGTTTTTTTCCTCGCTTGTAAACTCACAATATTGCCAGTTCTTTGTTTACGAGTCTGCTCTCCTCAGCCAGAAATCCTTGAAAGCCTGTCTTTTATTTTACATATTCTGTGTTTGCAGTACCTGGCAAAAGGTCTGAGTAAGTGATCAAGTGTTTGCTGAATGGCTTGTAAATTTGGCAATATAGCCTAAAATCTTCTAAAATCTGAAAGTTAGTGAATCTTTTAAACAGATAGTTTGTTTTGCTTAGAGTACTTTGGAGAAAGAATATAGGAATTGGTCTTTATGAGATCCTTATAGGTCAGGTATCTAATTCCAAAAAAAAAGCACAGCTGTCTTCAGTAATCCATTCGTGATTAATAAGCCCAAATATGGGTCTCCTATCAACTCGCAAGCATTTCTGCAACGCCTGCTATATGGTGGGCATTTTGGTTGTTTGATTTTGCAGAATGAAAGACATCCTGTAATTACTCTGCATGTTTTGGTTCCACAGCTTTATGAAAACTTCATCAGTGAATTTGAACACAGGTAAAATACCTTTGTCAGTTTTTGACTTTGAACATGGAAACATTGATACTACTGACACTCAAAAACCGGTGGTTTTTATTTCAGGGTGAATCCTTTGTCCCTGGTAGAAATCATTCTTCATGTAGTTAGACAGATGACTGGTGAGTCTGACTTTATTTCATAAAGGAGCAGATCTAAGTGGTAATTCAAATTCTTTTGAAATGTAAGTTAATTGAACTTTTACACTTTGATAGAAAATACCAGATTCTAAGTTAGGTTTTTATTATATTTATGGTCTAACCCTAAAGGTTATCCTACCTAAGTGTCCTCACTGGTAGGAACCGGTCTCTAAAGATACTATGATGGTGGTTCTTCTGACATTGTTCTGCCTTTTCTAGATCCCAACGTGGCTCTTACTTTTCTGGAAAAGACTCGTGAAAAGGTAAATGTGAAGCCTGGGCCAAGACTTTTAGAATACGTGTGACTTACAGCTTGTGTCTGTGGTCGCTGTGCACACCTTTTAGAGACTACTGTGTCTCTGATCATGTCAGTTAAGCCAGTACGCAGATGGCCTTGCTTTGTTAGTCTCCTGCCCACACTTCTCAGGTTCTTTTGTTTCTGACGTCTTCAGGTGAAAAGCAGTGATGAGGCAGTGATCCTGTGTAAAACCGCAATCGGAGCTCTGAAATTAAACATCGGGGACCTACAGGTTACAAAGGTAAGGTTGCCATAAGAGATTCCCTTGGGTTTAAAAAGTTGTTTAGAAGGGCACCAGGGTGGCTCAGTCGGTTGAGCGTCCGACTTGGGCTCAGGTCTCATGGTTCGTGAGTCTGAGCCCCGCATCAGGCTGTCTGCTAAAAGCACGGAGCCTGCTTTGGATCCTCTGTCTCCCTCTCTTTCTGTCCCTGCTGTGCTCACCTTCTCTCAAAAATTAATAAACATTTGGGGCGCCTGGGTGGCGCAGTCGGTTAAGCGTCCGACTTCAGCCAGGTCACGATCTCGCGGTCCGTGAGTTCGAGCCCC